CACAGGGAAGCGGTACCTATCGGGAGGAAGTGGGAGAGAAGATGTTGCATTGTGTTAAATTGTGGTCAATGTCGTGAGACAAAGTGTATGTGATCTGCTGTATGGAAAGTGTATTTGCTCTGTAAATTTTCACCCAAATCACAATAAAAATATAAATAAATAAATAAATAAATAAAGTTGTTCACCAAGTATTAAAAAAAAAAAAAAAAAAATCCTAGCCATCCTGTTGGGAATAACATGGTACATCATTGTGGTATTGATTTGCATCTGTGATGGCTAATGACATGGGGCATCTTTTTATGTGTGTTTGGTAACCATTTGAATGCCCTCTTTCATGAAATGTCTACTCTTTTGCCCATTTTATGGTTGGATGATTTGTCTTTTTGTTAGGTTGTTAAAGTTCTATATATACTTTGGTTATGAGATTTTTGTTGGATATATGCTTTGAAGATACTCTCCCAGTTGGTAGCTTGTCTTTTCACTTTTTTGATGAACAAAATTTTTAATTTTAAGGCGATCTCATTTACTGATTTTCTCTTTTGCTGTTTGTGCTTTTGTTATTACATTAGATAATACATTGTTGAGAAGCTAGGCCTGATAGCATTGCCCTGCTTGTTCTTCTAAGAATCTTATGGTTTGGATTTGCACATTTAGGTTTTAATCCATTTTGAATTTGTGTTTGTGTATTGTGTGAGGCAAGGGTCCTGTTTTCATTTTCTGGAGGTGGCAATCCATTGTTCCCAGCACCATTTATTGGGGGAGATTCTTCTTTCTGCATTGAATCCACTTAGCACCCATGTCAAAAATCAGGTGACGATAAATGTGTGGGTTTATTTCTGGACTCTTAATTCTATTCCTTTGGTCTATATGTCTTTTATTACACTTGTACCAGGCTATTTGGATTACTGTAGCTATACAATATGTTTTAAAATCAGAAAGTATGAGTTCTTCCATTTTATTCTTCTCTTTCAACATTGTTTTAGCTATTTGGGGCCTCTTGCTCTTCTGCACGGAGTTGATGACTGGTGTTTCTTTTTCTGTAAAGAATGCTGTTGGAATTTTGATTGAAATTTTGTTAAATCTATAGATCACTTTGGATAGTATTGACATCTTAACAATGTTATGTTTTCTAATCTATGAACATGGAACATCTTTCCTTTTATTGTTCTTCACTCTCTTTCAAGGAGCTCTGGTGGTGCAGTAATTAAGGCATTGGGCTGCTAACCAAAAGGTCAGTGGTTCGAACCTACCAGCTGCTCCATGGGAGAATGACAAGGCAGTCTGCTTCTGTAGGTATTTATAGCCTTGGAAACCCTATGGAGGTCACTATAAGTCAGAATCAACTCAGTAGCAGTGGGTTAGTGGGTCACTGTCTTTCAGCAATGTTTTATAGTTTTCATTGTGTAAATCTTCACATCTCTGGTTAGGTTTTTCCTGAGGTATTTTATTCTCTTAGATGCTTTTTTAAATGGAATTGTTTCCCTAATTTTCCTTTCAGATTTCTCATTGCTGGTGTATAGGAAAGGAGGAGCTTTGGTGGCATAGGTGCCTAAGGCATTTGACTGCTAACCAGAAGGCTGGTGGTTCAAACCCACCAGCCACTCCTTGGAAGGAAGATTGGGCAATCTACTTCTGTAGCGATACCGCCTTGGAAACCCAAGGAGGGGTCCCTATGAATTGGATCCAACTTGACGGCAGTGAGCTTGGTTTGGTTCTGGTTTGGTGGATAGAAACCCAGCTGATTTTTGTTTGTTGACCTTTGCCCTGAACCTTTGCTGGATTCCTCTGTTAATTCCAAGAGTCTTGTGGACTCTGTGATTTTCTATAGAGGGGATCATAAAATCCACGAGTAGATACAATTTTCCTTCTTTTCCAGTCTGGATACCTTTTATTTCTTTTTCTCCGAGGACTCTTAAAGGACCCTTGGTGGTGCAGTGGTTAAGTGCTCAGCTGCTAACAGAAAGGTTGGCATTGGAATGCAACCAGCTGCTCCGTGGGAGAAAGCCCTGGTGCTCTGCTCCCACAAAGCCTAGGAAACCCATGGGGCAGTTTCCTGTCACTTGGGGTCGCTCTGCATCAGAATCAACTCTGTGACGCCCAACCAGAGCGGAGGACTCCCAAGTGCGCTAAGGTCAAAAACGCTGGCATGGATTCCAGTGATGGGGTACAGGCCCCCCAAAGGCTATGGGATGAAGGATTGGAACTTGTATTTAAAATGGTTGTTTTCTGTCACATCTTTGTGGAAGGAAGGTGGTGCAATCTACTTCCATAAAGATCTACTGCCTAGGAAACCCAATGGGAGTCACTATGAGTCAGAATTGACTCTATGGTCATGGGTTTGCTTGTTATCACATCTTTAAGGACCTCTGGTGGTGTAGTGGTTAAAGCATTTGGCTGCTAACCAGAAGGTCAGTGGTTTGAACCCACCAGCTGCTCTGTAGAAGAAAGATTGGATAGTTTGCTTCCGTAAAGATTTACAGCCTTGGAAACCCAATGGGGGTCCCTATGAGTTGGTATCAACTTAATGGCAGTGCATTTGGTATATATATATATATATATATATATATATATATATATTTTTTTTTGGTTATCACATCTTTAAAAAATTTGTTTCTGGCTGTATGTTTTTCTAATGCCTGTGATACACTAGGGTGAGCTGTGTGTGTGAGTATATGAGTAAATACATTTTTAGTGATGGACAGCTGTGTGATAACAATAATTCACATTGGGTCCAAATGGATAGTTCCAAATGTGGCCAACTGGGTGATCTTGGCCAAGTCACTGTTCCATGCTGTAGTCGTCCTGTGCCCTGGTATGCTTGGTAAGAGGACAAATGGAGCACAAAGATGCTTTTAGCCATGCTGGCACAAAATGGGCTTGTCATGTGGTGGGGCTTGTGGGGAGCAGAGGGGGCACAGTGATCTGGAGGAAATTATGGGGCTCTGCTCTGGTAGCATAGTGGCTAAGGCACTTGACTGCTAACCAGAAGGCTGGCGGTTCAAACCCACCAGCCACTCCTCGGAAGGAAGATGGGGCAATCTACTTCCATAGTGATACTGCCTCGGAAACCCAAGAAGGGGTCGCTATGAGTCGGGGCCGACTCGATGGTACATAACAACAACAACAACAGCATTTAGAGGGGTCAGAGAAGGAGACTGGGTAGGGAGAGAGGATAGAGGTCACTGAGCCCCCGTAAGGAGCAGGCATTTTTGCCCAATGGGAGAGATTGTTGACCCTGTTCCTCCCCAGCTCCTGAAAAGCCAGCCTTCTCCGGCTGGACTCTTCCCTGGGGAACGTTCTGTCCAGAAATAGTTGCCTGCTGACTTTTCAAAACAAATCAAGGCTCATGACTAGGATCCAAGTACTCAGGAGGCTGAAACACAGACATGTCTGTCCAGGGAGGCCTGCAGTTACACTCCATTGTAGCCACGGCTTGGAGGGCTGGGAGGCTGACCTTTTGCCCTCGGCTGTCCTGTCCACAGGGTGGCTTCGGGCAAGGCCCCTCCACTCTCTGGGCTGCAGTGTGTCCACCTGCAGAGCCAGGCCTTTGTCTGGGCTCGGCTGGAGGCCCCTGCCACGCTGACTTGCTGTGAGTCTTTGGAACCTCCCACACTGAAGTCTCCTTGCACAGGGCCATGCCATTCTGGTCTGTCATCTGTGTGCCTTCCGGGCTGAGCACCAGGCTCAGCACAGAGGAGGCTCTTGGGGAGTGTCTAAGGTAGCAGGAGGAGGGGAAGGAGGGAGATAAAGAAGATGAGAGAGTGAGAAGGAAAGAGCGAAAGGAGAGGATGGAAGGGAGGCAGGAAAGAGCCCTCCTGCAGCTTCTCCCCTGCCACAGCCTCTAACAGGTCCCTCTGCAGCCAGTCTCCCCTGTTCTGGCTCATTCTCCCAGAGCAACCAGGGTGAAACTTCTAAGCTGTACCTCTGATGGTACTCTCCTGCACCCAAACCCTCAGGACCCCTCCCAGGCCCTGGGATACACTACCAACTCCTGAACAAGGCCCACGAGGCCCTCCTTGGTCTGCCTACCACACTCTGTTGTCTGTATCGCCCAGCCCCGGTCCTCAGGACCACAACTGGCAGAAAGGCACTTCTGTGTCCAGGAAAGCACCTGGTAGGGTCACTCCTTCCGGCCTCCAGACATACTGATCCCTGTGCCTGGAATACTGCTGGCTCTTTTCACCATCACCCCACTCCTGGTCTGAATTCTTACTGTGAGAGGTCATGGATGCTCCCAGACGAAGTGACTTCTAAGCTGGGGCTTTCCCTGACTTCCAAGCCCAATATTGCCCCCATCACCTTGATTTGCAATCACATGGATACTTGTCTACCTTCTTCAAGCTATACGTTCTTATGTGAGTAGGGCCCATGCCCAGCACCCATGTCCAGGGCCTGGCACACAGTAACACCAGGGTTATGTATTGAACTACCAATCTGTACCAGCCACTGGACTCTTTACTTTGTGTCTCAGGAAATTTTACAAAACCCTTGAGGGAGAGAGGAATTACCATCCCAGTTTCACTGATGAGGACAATGAAGGCAGAGTGACTTGCCCGAGGTTGAACCCAGAAGTTGAACTTAAGGCTGCTCTGGTAGAGTCCCTGTGGTGACTTTTTGTTCTGAATAAAGCAGGGGACTTGAGGATTAATGCTGTCCCTTGATCGTGTCCCCAACAGGCCACAGGCAGAATGGCAGATGCTGAGAGGTGCCAACACTGACTCTGGTGCCCACAGCAGCAGCTCCATCTCCTGAGGATGAGGTGGCCCAGGTGAAGTGTGGGCCAGGCCCCATGGCCAGCTCGAGGACCGAGGTCCACTGGGCTGACCTGGGCCTGGAGAAGGGGCCCCGGCGACGGTGGAGGCGCTGGGCCTGGGCCGAGGAACAGGAGGATGCCCAGGGGAGTGATGCCCACGGCTGGGGAGAAGGGCCCTTTCCTAACACCACCAGCCCTGAGCTCCTGGAAGACTTTCGCCTGGTCCAGCAGCTCCTGCCACCCCTGGAGTGGAACCCACAGGCTGCTGGGCAACAGGATTCTGAATCCGAAGAGTCTGCAAGAGAGGGTAAGACGGACTGCCCCGCCAAGTCTGCTGCTGTAACTTCCTAGCGGGCCTCGGTCCACACCTTACTGTGTAGCGTAGGCAGCGGGAGGAGGTGCTTCTAAATGTTTTCAGAATTAAAATCTTATAATTTAAATATTTAATTAAACTTAGTGTCTGTAATTTAAAATTATAAATAAATAATTCTTATTTAATATCAGTACAAATTTAAAAGATTTAAATTATATTAAGTAACACTGTTCACTGTGGAAAAATCAGAAAACCTAAGCCAAAAGGGAGAAGATTAAAAATTATTTCTCATCCCGTCCACCCCCTCTACCATACCACTCTTTTTCATATGTACATATACACAAATGTAACATGAATATGGAGCAGTATTCTACATACTAGATTGTTACTTGCTTTTTTGTGAATTGAATGGATGTGAACATTTTCCATGTCGTCAAGTATTCTTCCACAAGTTATTCCCAATGCCTGCATAGACTTCCAGGATGTGGCCATGCCATAATTACGCCGGTACAGGGCAGTAGAGTACTTTCTAGTTTTTGATACTGTAATTATGGATTAGTACATCTTTGCACACTTGATAATTTCCTTGGTGATTTGAATTGCTCGATCCAAGGGATATGCCCATTTTAAGGATTTTAAAAATCTCAATTAACAATGGGAACGTTGGTATCCCTTGCTTCCTACAATAACCATGCTTCCTTTGTGTTGAGACCAACATGGACTAAAGTCCCAGTTTTGCTTGGCAGTTCTCCCTGCCTCTCTGAATCTCAGTCTCCCCATCTGTGAAGTGGGAGGAATAACACTGACCTTGAAGAGTGTGAAGGGTTAAACCGATCAAGTGTGCAAAGCATTGAGAATAGTAAGAGCTTGACGTGTTGGAGCTATTGTTCTTAGGTTATGAATGAAGCCCCTTTCTCTTCTGATTCCGGAAACCAGGCAGACCCCTTGTGGATGGCAGAGGAGCCAGTACCAGGACTGTTTGAGCTGCCAGGGCTGCCCACTTTGAACTGTTTGCAAGCCTTCCCTCAGGGAGGGTGACTCCACCTCTGAGAACTGGCTGAGTTAAAAGAGCAGAGGCATCTCTTTGAGGGGTCATGTGGTAATCCCCCTGCTATGATGTAACAGCTGCTACCACATCCTGTGCCTTACTGTGTGCCAGGCACAGGGCTGGGCAGGACCCAGGCCTCCTCTCCCTTCCTACTCACCACCCTCTTCCAGGTAGGAGGGGCTAGTTTCAAGTGTAAGGACACTGTGGCTCAGAGAGGCCTAACTTGTCCATGGCCACCCAGTGAGGGGGTCAGAGGAACCAGAGTTGAACTCAGAGCTCCCTGGCTGCAAAGCCCATGCTCTTCACTCCACATCACCACCACTAGCAGCAGAGACAAACTTGCCTGCATAGCGGGGGCCCAAGTCCTAGGTCCTGGACTGCTCTGAGTCACTGTGTGATCCTCAACGGGTTACTTAACCTCTCAGGCTTCCGATGTGCTGCTGTAAACAAGACAGACTTGCTGAAGGGAGTTTTATGGAGTTGAGGGATTGACAGTGCCAAGGATGAGAGGCCGAGTGTGGGGGAGCAGAGAGTGATGCAGGGTGCATCACTTATAATTTATTATTAATTATCAAGGTGATTGTAATCACTTATTACAAAGGTGCATCTGGCCAGAGTAGAGAATCTCTGCTTGGCAGTACCCAGACTGTGTCTCGTGAAACTTTGAATATGTCCCAGAGGCTGACTCAGTGTGGAACAGGGTAGATGCTTAATAAACGCGGACAGCATGGATGATGATGGATGGGTGGATAGGTGTGTTGGATTGGGTTCTCTAGAGAAACACAAAAACCAGCAAAGTATATATATATATATTTATAGAGAGAGAAAGATGTGAGGAGGTGGGTGGGTGAATCGGTAGATGGATGGATGGGTAGATGGATGGAGAGATGTGGAATAGGTGATCTATGAGTGAGTAGGTCGATGGGTAGGTGGATGAGTGGATGGATGGATGAAAGGACAGACAGATGGCTGGCTGGGTGAGTAGGTAGGTAAATGACTATTTATTGAGTACCTACTATGTAATAATTACAACAACTCTATTTTCTGGGAGCTTAGCATACTTTATCTCTCTCCCCCCTTTCTGTTTCGTCAGGTGTAAATATTATTGGGCACTTACTGTGCATATACGAGTGTGAACTGAAACAGACGGCATCCTTGCCCTCACTGAGCCTGCAGTGTGATGAGGGAGACAAATATTAACAAAACAATTACATAAATAAATGGGAAACTGCAGCTGTGATAGTGTTATAAGGTAGAGCTGTCCAGTTCTATGACAGCCTATGAAAGGGAGGATTTGACGTAATCAGGAAGACCTGAGAAGGCTTCCTTAGTGAAGTAAAGATCAAACTAATGCCTGAAGGACAAATAGGAGTTAACCAGGCAAAGGGAGGACAGGAGTCTCCTGACAGAAGGATGGGCATGTGCAAAGCCCTGTGGTGAGAGAGTACATGGTGTGGCTGGGGCAGGGAGAGGCTGAGGGGAATGTGTAGAGAGCTCATGGGGACCAGAGTGGCGGAGACCTGAGGACCGTACTAAAGGTTCAGCTCCTATCCTGGGAACAGATTTGAAGATGGGGGATGTGGAGGGAGATTGGAAGGATGGTTAGGTGGCTAGTGTAGTGGACTGACTAGGAGAGAGAGAATGTTGGCTTGGGTAAAGGTGGTGGTAGTGATGGTGGACTTGTAGAATAGTTGGTGAGTTTGAGAGATAGGTGTGAGATAAAATGGAAAGGGCCGGGGAGAGATTGGATTACAGGGGTTAGGGGAGAGTGATGGTAAGATGATTCCTAGATTTCTCTTGTCCAACTGGATATGATTGTGTTGCTGAGATGGGGGACACTGGGGGGAAGACTAGGCTTTGGGTAGGAGACAATCATGAGCTTGGGTTTGGACTTTGAGGCAAGAAGAGGGGATATCAGATGAGCACTTGGCCATATGGGAGGCTTACTGGAATTCTTATAATCGACACATGATAAGTAAATATAAGTCCAGAGAGGTGAAGTGACTTAGTTAAGTGTGCACAGCTAGTCCAGACCTGATATATGCCAAGCAATGGTCTGTCTTTCCAGAGATCAAAGCGGAGGATGTGGACTGCCCAGAAAGTTCCAACTTGCCACTCTACTGGTTCCCTCAGCAGGATCGTCAATCAGATATGACTGAAGAGGAGCTGGATGAGGCCCTTGGAAGTCCTCAGGAGGCTGAGGAAGCTAGAGAGAGCTCCCCAAAGTCAGGGTACGAGGCTGGTCTCAACTCAGAGGGCAACGGAAGCCCCAGCTCTGTGGTGCTGGGTCAGGGTCAGGCCAGAGGCTGGGTGGCCTCTGGCAATGAAGCCAGTGGGGACAAGCTTGCAGAACATTCTGAAGTCAGCCCGTCTGTAAGGTCCTGGAGCAGTGGGACTGTGAGCCTCGGCCACCCCAGTGACAGCCTTGATTCTACCTGGGAAGGAGAAATCCATGTCCCCCAGCCCACTGCTTTGGCAGAAACTGTACCACGGAGCTCCAACTGCCACCTCTTAAATCCAGGAGACAGAACTAGAGGAAGTGTTGCTCAGGCAACCCCCACAGAATTCCATGACTCTTCACCACCCCCACCCCAGAGCCTTCAGTGTCCTGGAGATGGATGGAGAGACACCACCAGACTCTCCTACCTTCAGCCTGGGGACCAAGCCTGGAAACGGACAAAGATACCCCCTAAGTCACTCCCTTCCCGATTCACTGGCTCCACCACCCCTCCTAATCCTCGGTCTAGGCCAGCCCGACAGAACAGACTGCCCAGGCAGGGAGCCACTCTGGCTGGCCGCTCTTCTTCTGATGCCTCCAAGTATGGTCGGGGGCGGCTGAATTACCCGCTTCCTGATTTCTCCAAGGTGGGACCCCGGGTGAGGTTCCCCAAAGATGAGAGCTACCGCCCACCCAAGGCCAAGAGCCACAGCTGGCAGCCTCAGGGCCCTGCAAGGCCCCTGATCTTCAAGTCGCCTGCCGAGATTGTACGGGATGTGCTGCTGGGCAGCAGAGAAGCCTCCCCAGCTACTAAGGACCCTCCTCCTGCCCACCCCGTGACCAGGGTACCCCAAGAGTTCCAGACACCAGAACAAGCCACCAAGCTGGTCCATCAGCTCCAGGTAAGCTGGACTCATTTTTATGGGCCCAGGAAGGTCACCAGGCTACTTCTTGGTCTGGATTGGAGAGTGGCTGGGGTGGAGAGGCCTGGGGTCTGGCTAGGAGTCCCAGGCTGGTGGAGAGAGGGTTGTCATCAGAGTCGTGGAGATAGAACCAAGCTTTTTGTTCACAAGCAGTGATTGCACCCATGTTACAAGGATAAGCCTTTGTTTTGTTTATTTATTTTTTAATTTTAATATGTAAAAGTTAGGGGCTCTGGGGGTGCTGCTAACCAAAAGGGCAGCAATTAGAACCCACTGGCTGCTCCATGGGAGAAAGATAAGGCAGTCTGCTTCCATAAACATTGACAGCCTTACAAACCCTATGAGGGTTGCTAGGAGTCAGAATTGATTCGATGGCAATGGGTTGGGTTTGGTATGCAAAAGTTCACACATACACAAGAAAGAAAATTGTTTACTGAATCCCCCTGCCCAACAATTAGCATTTCATCCCAACCTTTTTCATCTGTGGCCCTATCTCTTCCCCCATCCACCCCCTCATTGGGTTATTTTGAAATAAATTTCAGACATCAAATCATTTCATCCAAAAAAATATTTTAGTGTGTATGTTTTAAGATTAGGACTCTATTTTAAACAAAGCCACTATCACTCCTAAAAATTAACACCAGCTTCTTGATATTGCCAGGCATATGGTCTGTGTTCAGCTCTTCCTGTCAGTCTCACAAAGGGCTGGTTTGTTCTACTGCGTCCAAGTCAGAAGCCAGACAAGATCCAGATAGGGCATTAGGCCAAGATGCCTTTCAAGACACTGTCCCCCCCACACACACCCAAAATCTCTTTCAATCTACAGGTTTCTCTTCCCTCTCATTTCCTCCTTGTAATCTATTTGTTAGGGAGCCCTGGTGGTGCAGTGGCTATGTGCTTGGCTGCTAACCAGTAGGTCGGCAGTTCAAACCTACCAGCCACTTGTGGGAGAAAGATCTGGCAGTCGGTGTTCACAGCCTCGGAAACCCTTTAGGGTAGTGAGTTCTACTCTGTCCTCTATGGGGTTGCCATGAGTCAGAATTGATTCGACAGCAAAGGTTAATCTAGTTGTTGATGATACCAGGTCCGTGCTGTGGAGTTTCCCACTTTCTGAGCATTGCTGATGTACCTGGGCTATCTATCAACGTGCCTCGCTGTGCTGTTTTCGTGTGTATGGGAGATGCAGAGCTGGAGGCTTTCTGCTTGCACTCATCTGCTCTTGTGACTATCTCCCCTCTAGACCCTGAGCACTGGTGAGAACATGTCATCGGTGGCCTGTTGGTTTCCTCAGGAGGCAGTAATGCCTGCTGGCCTCTCGCTTTGGATGGTCATTGTCTAGATCCAGTCATTCATTTGGGGGTGGCACAATCGTAGGATTCTAATGTATTCTGATGATGGTATTACATCATTTCTTCTGTGAGTATTTGCTGGGATTCTTCTCTGCAGTAAAACTTTCCATCATCCACTATTTTGTTACCAAGGTATTGTTTGTATGGGAAAGACAGAATAAATGCTTGATTCTGTCTTTCTGATTTAAACCTGTTTTCCCAAGAACAAGTCAGTTCCCTTCATAGGTGACCAATGACATTTGCTTTTGATTTTTCCCTGTAATGACTTGTCTTAATGAAACTGTGGTTTTGTTTAAGGTAAGTAGAGCTTCTTGAGTAGACGGAACTGTGCTTCTCAAGCCTTCTGAGAATTTCTGCTATTCAGTCGTTCATGAAGTGATTGACTGGATGAGTCAGTCAATAATTCATTAAAAGTACACACTAGGGACACTGAGAACAGACAGTGGGAAAGACAGACGTGAGCCTTACCCCATGGAGCTGATAGATGGGCTGGAAGTTTAGACAAGGAAGGAAGTCATTCCAGTCCCTGTGTGGGGGGTCAGACATCAAGGTGAAGCAGCCTAGTGATGCTATCCCCCACACACTGTGTGACCACAACATTGGAGGAGAGGACGGTGGGTCACTTCCCCTGGCGCCTCTGACAAATCCTGAATCTGGATGTGTGAGCCTAAAGGGGTCTGCTCTACTCCCACCGTCAAACTCTTGCTTTGAGGAACCCAGAAGTCTCTATGGGCAAGAAGGGAGTTTTCCTGCAAGGGGTCTCCCAAGGAGGATAGGTGCTGTGTGCCTGGGCTGTGTGACGGTGTTACTGTCCCTCTCCTGCAGGAGGACTACCACAAGCTCCTCACCAAGTATGCTGAGGCCGAGAACACCATTGACCAGCTGCGCCTTGGGGCCAAGGTACCAAGGCTCGGGGGATCGGGATTGGGAGCTGAGGCTCCAGGGAGATGACACTTTCCCATGGTATTAGAGAGGGACCACCACGTTTTGCATATCTTCTGAGGACAGTGGAACCCTAGTCCCTGTCCTACTACAAGGTCCCTCTGACCTTGGGCAACAACCTTGCCCTTTCTGGCCTCAGTCTCCTCTGCTGTCGATAAGCTATGACATCCTTGAGTCCTACATTCTGGGGAGCCTAGGAATTTCATCAGAAGCTCTTGCCTTCTAGATGGGCTCTGGAGAGAGACCACCTGGGCTTGACTTCTGGCTCCATTACTGACGAGCTGTGTGACCTTAAGGAAGTTACATGGGCTCTCTGAGCCTCAAGGGTGTAGCACAGAATTTCTGCTCAACACCTGTTACTTGTTCCTTGGACCTGATCCTTCCTAGATCACAACATTTGCCTTTCTCCTCCCCACCATCTTCTCTACCATCTCTCCTCCTCTCACTCCTGACCGAATGCCCCAGTGTGAGGCAGGGAGAGTATAGAGGGCAGAAATCCATCCATTCCCCCACAAAAAAACTGTCAGCAGCCCTGCCCACCCCCCACCGCAGCTTGGGAGGAAGCTGTGAGTTCTGTACTTGAAACCTTCTGCTTTTCTAGGGTGAGGCAGGAAGTGGGACCTGCTGCAGCCCCTCATGGCTTCCGGCCTGCCCCAAACCTCTTGCTTCATCAGTCAGCCATGGAGGAGGGGCTGGGGAGCTGAGGTGTGGAGGTGGAGACCTTCCCCTAGTCCTCACCAGCCCTGCCCCAGGGCCCGCACAGGCCTGTTCCCCCATGTGCTCCATAATCCCTCCCAGCTGCCAGCTCTGCTCACAACCATCTAGAGGCACTTCCTTCAACTCAGCCATATTGAGAAAATGGAAGGGGCCCTGTTCTAGGAGCAGGAGTTCTCAAGCATCCCCACCCCTGCAGGCAGTTCTCTTCCCATTCTGGCCTCTTTGGGCACATCTATAGAGGAGGTTGACCAGACTTCCTCTAGAAACCAGTGGGCTAGACAAGGTGTCTGAGGCTTCTTCTAGTTCTGTGAACTGCTGAGCCAGATCCAGGAGGGAGGACCAGGGAGAGTTGGCAAAGCATTCTCTCCAGGGCAAACTGCTAGAAGGTCAAGAAGAAAGGAACTGGTCATCTGGTCAAACCTTTTGCTCCTCTCCTTTACTGATGGGGAAACTGGGACCCAGGAAGGGTAGAGGCTGCCTAAGGTCACAGAGTGGTCAGAGGCAGAAGGCAGGAGTGTCTCCTTTTTGCCTCTGTCTCTCCCGCCCTCCCTCCTTCCTTCCTAAAACAGTCAGTATTTGGGAAGCACCTACCTGATGCACGGCAAGCACTTCATGAGTGCCCACCACTGCCATTGAGTAGATTCCGATTCATAGTGACCCCCATCGGGTTCCAAGACTGTAAATCTTTGCAGAAGTAGATTGCCTCATCTTCCTCCTGCAGAGCAGCTGGTGGGTTTGAACCCCTCGCCTTCAGGTTAACAGCCAAATGTCTTACACCCTATGCCACTAGTGCTCCTTTCATATGAGTTAGGGAATATTATCATAAAGGTCTTATTGAGGGCCAAGGAGCTGTGGGTACAGTGGTTAAAGGATTTGGCTGCTCACCAAAAGGTCAACAATGCAAACCTACAGCCACTCTGTGGGAGAAAGATGTGACAGTCTGCTTCTATAAAGATTTACAGCCTTGAAAACCCTATGGGGCAGTTCTACTCTGTCCTAGAGGGTTGCTGTGAGTCTGAATTGACTCAGTGGCTGTGGTTTATTTGTTTATTATTACTTTTGAGGGACCAAATGCAGTTTCAGGCCTGGGCAGTGTGGACAAGTGGAGCCCAGCCTCCTCTTATGGGACTGACCCAACCCAGTGAAGACTCAGACCCTCCTCATGTGGGGAGAGTCCTGCTGTCACCTGTCAGTTGGGCCAAAGACCCTGCTATGGGTGTGTGCGCGTGTGTGTGCACATGTCCATGTGCATGCATGTGTGTGCATACCTATGTGTGCATGTGTGTTTGTGCGTGAGAGAGAGAGAGTGAGAGAAGGGGAAAAGTGGTGGAGGCTGGGAATGGTCACCCCTCTCTGGCACAGTGACCCCTTGGCCTCAGGTGCTCCTCAGGGGAAGGTGTACACAGTTAAACCAGATTCTGTTGGCTTAACTGCCCCCGACTCTAACCTGAGAACACCTAGAGGCTGACCTGAAAGAGCAGCACAGGGAAGGCTCCCAGTCCCCACCCAGAGGGGAACTTGAAGCCCCAGAGTGGGGAGGCAGCTCACTCCAGGTCCCACAGGGGCCTGAAGGGGAGCCGGGATTCAAGCTGGACTTCCTCACTCTGTCTAGAAATTGCACGTTCTACCCCAAAGGTCCTTATCAGAGCCCTTTCTCAGGGAGTCCAGTTCATAGAGACGGTCCTGCTCCCTCAAACTGTGCACCCCCGCCAGACCTGCTGAGCCCCCTTCACTCTGCTCAGAGCTCACAGGGGGAAGAGTGGACCAACCTGGAGGAAGACAGGCTGTGGATATTGCCCTGGGCTACCCAGGCCATCCCTGGTGGGTTGGGAAAGGGCAGCAACTGATGGGGACCCCAGGAGGGGACTTGACTTTGCTGAACAGTTAAAAGGTGCCAGTGCTCAGACTAAGTGCCCCTCAAGGTCATCTCATTCAGTCTTTTCAAATGAGGAAACTGAGGCCTCGCCAAGTGGAGTGGCTTGCTCAGCATCCCACAGCCAATAAGATGCACAGCTGGGAATGAAACTCAGATGTGTGATTCTTCCCAAATGAGTGCTCATTTCCCCAGGCCTGCCTAAGCCGGGCTTGGTCCTGCACCACGTATGTGGCAGAGGCAAGGGGACAGGGCAGGAGAATGATGGCCATACTCATAATAGTGATAATAAGTGTGTATGACCATGGTCCTAAATAATGTATAGATGGGGAGACTGAGGCACAGAGCAGTAAAGTAACTTGCCCAAGGTCACCCAAGTAGATGCCAGAGCTGGGGTTGGAACCCAGCAGTGTGGTGTCTGAGCCCACATTTAACCCCACCTTGTCTAGCAGAACCAGAATAGGTAATCAAGGGAGGCTGACCAGCTCTCCGGCTTTGGGCTTTATCATTCTGCAGTCTGGCCTAGAAACACCCATGGACCCCAGGCCTGTGGTGGGAGAGGGGCCAGGGAGCCCAGCTGTGGGTCTAGGAGGGAACAGGGCAGGGAGCCAGGCCTCCGCAGGAGTGGGGCTCTTCCCTAATTTGGTGTCATCCGGAGTTTATGGTAATCTAACCACATTCACTGCCTTCTTGCCTGCCACCTGCCCTTGGGCCCTGTCTCCCCACTTCAGCTGTAGGGGGATCTGGGTGACTGCAGAGGGCTGGAGAAACCACATCACCTCAGAGAGAATTGAGGCAGGGAGGGCATATAACCAGTGTGTTCAGATGGTCACTAGTTTGTCCAGAGCCCCTGGTAGGAGGGGGCTGGGGGTGGTGGGGGAGGTTTCTGTGTTCAGAGGAGCTGGGGGAAATGCTTCCTTCTCTCTCTGCCCCTCCCCCGGCCCCATTCATAAAGCCATTAGCATTTTAAAAGCTGTGAGAAATCCATCTGTGCCGAGAATATTCATTCATTTAACCCGATGTTTCCCAAACTCACTGCTCAGCCCATCACAAAATCCTGATGAACTCCCCTGAGGCACCGGTAGCCATGGAGCACCTTTGGGACACCCCTTCTTAAAAGAGGTGCCCTAGCCCACTTGGTGGGTCCAGGGTGTGTCCAGGGAAGCAGGGCATAGGAGCAAGGCCTGGGCACCTCAGCCGTTGCCCCTCCACAACCCACCTCCCTTAATATTTTTCAAGCTCCTCGTTGATGCCTGACACAAAGGGACCTCGTGGCTTCCCTGGCCCTCTTCCAGCCCAGGAGGTGTTTGTTTCTAGCCCCAAACCCCCTTCCGTACTTTGGGCCTTGGTGGGCCCAGGGACCTGGGAGGGGAAGCACACAGGGAGCCTCCCCTGGGATTTGGGTCACCTTAGAGGAGGGGTGTGCTGGTGGGCCAGCCCTCACAGGCAAGTGTGAGCAGATGGCCAAGGGGATTATTAAAATCCTGCTTTGTTCTCATCCATCCAGGCCCAACCCTGAAAGTGTGGGAGGGGGGCAGCCATGCTAGGCAATCATCCCTCACTTTGGAGTAGATTTTCTGCCACAGCCTCCAAGAGCAGGGAGAGGCTGCTTGCCTAGGGGCCAAAAAGTCACCTCCACTAGGCTGCCCTGACTCCTGCCCATCACCTGATGTTGGGGAAGCAGGGAGACAGTACATATAACCCACCTGAGATCATGGCAAGCAGGTGCCAATGAAGCACATGGGAAAGTAGCTTTTCCCCAGAGATGCTATAGACAGTTGTACAGTTTTTCTGATAGGAAATGCCTCCATGATGGTCAAGTAAATGATGATGATGATGGTGGTGGTAGTGGTAGTGGTGGTGATGGTGGTGGTGGTGGTGGTGGTGATGGTGGTGGTGGTGGTAGTGATAGTGGTGGTGGTG